ATTAGATAACAATCCAATAAACAAGTTCATCAAATAAATTATTGCGAAGAAAGAAAAAAGAACTATCAAAACCATTAGTGTTGGATTTTCAGTTAATGACCAATTAGACACATAAGATGAGTCGCCTATAAATAGTTATATAATTAGAAATAAGTATAATTATTGTTAGAAAAATAATTAGAAATACCTGTCAACATCATATATACAGCCAAATATGCTGTATCTAAATTTGTAAACATATTTGTATCTAATTCTTTTGAATTATTTAAATTGTTTGAAGCATCAGTTGTTGGTCTTAATAAAATATGTAAAGAATGTGCAAAAGCAAACATAATAAAACCAATTATTACAAAAAAGGATAAAGAATTTTGTATAACTCCAATAATCATTGCCCAATGAATACCACCAAATTCAATAGCTCGAAAAAATGTTATAAATTTAAATTCAAGTAGTAATATAGAAATTGTAACAGCCCAAATGGGCATTGTAAAAGATTGTAACCAAATAATAGAAGTTAATACAGGAAATAATATTGCTCCTATATCTTTAAAAAATATATTAAAATAAGATTATTAGTTACATATGAGAATATTTATAATTTTATAATTATTAAATAAAAGCTAAAATTTAAATACCAATATAATTCCAAATATCAGTAATCCAAGATAAAGGAGAATATATACATTTCCGAATTTCAAAAGTAAGATGTAAAATTCCAAGAATAATAGTTGTAATTAATAGTAGATTCTGAGTATTAGTAGATAATTCTTTTATTGTAGCAACGATTAAAAAACAAAGCATAAAAATAAAATAAAAAATAAAAATAGCAAAAAAATAATATTTTCCATAGCTATTCCACTTGAAATTAAGAAGAGCTTCGCCATGCCAATATTTATATAATTCAAAAAATTGATGTTTAGAAAAAATACTAGAACTAGGACGAATTAATTCTTTCCAAAAATTATAATTACTATTATAAGAACTAAACTTTGGTAATGGGAAAATTAAAATTACAGTTTGAAACTCTTTATAAAATTTTTTTTGTAATTTATCAAATATATTATCAAATATATAAAATAAATAAATATTACCAGTAATCAAACCATAAAAAAGAAAAAGAATAGCAAGAATAAGTATTAAACATAAATATATGTATATATTATCATTAATTAAAACATAAAGAAAAAAAAAGAATAGCAAAAATAAATATTAAGTACAAATATATATTAGGAAAAAAATTTTTTAGAGTACTAGAAAAGATCTTTTCTTTTATATTGCTAGTAAAAAACGGTTGTAAATATCTTATATAACTTTGAAGATGCGGTTCTGAAAAACCTTTAATAGATTTAATTTCTTTAGAATGAATAAATAAAGTATATGATAAAAATTCTTTCAAATTTTGAGGAAATTGAGTTAATTCTATAAATGAAAAGGTAATGATATCCAATAATTGAATTTTTTCTAAAAATTTATCATGTTCTGTTTCGTTAAAAATTTTATAATATAATCTTTCTGCTATTGAATAGTTTTTAGTTCTTAAACAACATTTTAAAAGTTCCTGTCCATATAATTTTATCAATATATTATCTTCAATATAATCATCTAGTAATTCTTTAAAAAAACATCTCTCTTCTGCATTTGATTGATTACAATTGATAACAATAAAATCAAAATCTGGTGCTGACAATAAAGTTTCATATTTTTGTAAACTTTCTAATATATTTTTTAATTCATTTTTTAAGTTATCAAATTTGTCACTATTTCCTACAGTTTCCTCAGCTGGTGTATCATCTACACGATAGTTGATATAATATCGTAATTTAATTTTTTTATAACTCGGCCAAATTGACCATATGAATAATCCAACCGATGTAATTATTACTAAATCTTCATTATACAATAAATCACATCTATAAATATTATGAAAATCCATATAATTAAACTGATATTTTAAATCTATACTCTCTATAGATTCCCATTCGTTCTTATCAAAGTTTTTCAAAGAAGCTTGTATTTTTCCATTATTGTTTACTTTCCACTTCACAAATGATCCATCACATGGTTCAAAAGAAATACGTGATATATTTTTCTTTCTAAATTCTTGCAAAATCTTCACCATTTGTGATTTAGTAGGTAGAGCTCTTATTTTACTATTATCTTTTAATATTTCTCGTAAATATTTGATCCATTGTTTTTTAAAAATTTCTCGGACCCATAAAAGTCTATCTGATGTGTAATATATTTTTTCGTCTATTAATGTTTTAAATTCTGCTTCTTGCATAAGTGATTTTGTTAAAGTTTCTTCATTTAAAAGTTCATTATACAGATCTGAAATAATTTTATTATTGAAATGTTGAAGATTGTAAGGATCTCTTATTTCAAGATTATCATCATCATAAAATAAAAGTAATCTTTCCCCTTCATCAGGTGAAATGAATTCTAATCGCAATAACCGTTTTTTAACTTGACCTATTAATTTATTATAAATTAAAGAATTATTAAAATAAATAAATCAGTAGAATTATGTAGGTTTCTTTGAAATATTAAGCATTGCTACTTATTTGCACCAAAACCATTTATTTTATTTTTTTTCGAAATATAAAAATTATACCATTGGAGAGTCTTAGTAAACTCGAAATATTGATAGTTTCATTTGCAAAAAAGTTTAATTTTTCAGGTTTTATAAAAATCTGATGAAAGTCTTTTTGCAAACAAAGATATACAAATTAAAGAACTTACATTGTGATAAAAGCATCGGATTTTCTGTCAAATAAACATAAATAAATTCTTCTAAATATACCGCAAGTAATGCAGAATTTTTATTAAAAATACAATGCCATCCTTCACTTCCATAGAGATGGTTTGTATCTAATTGATATTGTTTTTCAAATAATAGAGTATTTAAATTCCATTGTGTTAACGACCCACATCTATCAAGAAGCATTATCTTTCTTTGTCACTTATATAACAACGCACTATATCTTTTCCACAAGAAATTAAATTATTAATCATCCAGCTTTGCTTATGTAAATTTTTATATGAAAATTTAAGAATAAGGTTGTCGTCAAGATCGTTAAGATAATTGTCATAATATGTACGCATATGCATCACGAAATCTTCATTGTTATAAAATTTATATCCAATAATTGCCCGATTATTTGAATATGGATATAATTCTAAATTTACCTCCTTCCTGGTGGCAAGATCAATAAACTCTTTAAAAGAATAAATGTTTTGGAGATTAGTTTTAAGTATTGCAAATATTGTCAATTATCAATTATATTATTTATTTGTTACTAACCAAGGTGGTGCGATCCTAATCTCATTGCGACAATTTTATTATTTGAAACTGCACTTAATGAGCGTTCATAATCAAATTTGATTAAACAGTCAAACTCAAAGGATCTAGATTGATATGATTCGTTTTCTAATTGCTCTACTGATTCATTTGCGGATTGTTCTACTGATTCCGATTGTTCTACTGATTGCTCTATAGGTTGATCTTTAAGTTGCCATCCGCAAATTGATTTATCATCTTTGCTCCATGTTGCTGCGTACTTGCCATTTGGTGATAGCACTAGTTGTGTTATTTTCTTGCCATTGTGCGGGTTAGGTGGTTCAGGTTCTATTTCAATTTTTTCTTCATGTTCTGACTTTGACGTTTGTGAATATTCACTTTCATTGATCATTGTTGAAAAAAAAATAAACCAATTCGTACGCGATTTAATTCTTTAACAAAGTATATTATTCAGCACACAGTGTTTATATCGGCTTAGTTAAATGGCTATTGCGACTTAGCCGACATAAACAACTTAGCTGGCTGAGGCCTAAGGTTTATTAATTTAGAAAAAATCATCATTTTTAGCTTTATATCAATTATGAAAATTTACGAGATTTCTCACATATTATTGCATATATAAATTCGGGTTATTTACTTTAAAACACACAGACATGAAATAATGGTTTTGATAGTTCTTTTTTCTTTCTTCGCAATAATTTATTTGATGAACTTGTTTATTGGATTGTTATCTAAT